AGTTAGGGATCTCATGGTTCTGTCCCTCTCTGTTGAGCAGTACTGTGTTGGGGCTGCACATGCTAATTCTGTAGAACATCAGTCCCAGAAGGAGCCTGAAGGTGACAGGTTGGTAGCAGGAACCAAAGTCTTCATGGCCCAAATGGAGCCAGTCTATGGCTTAGGGGAGTCATGCAGACCAATGCTTCTGACCACCACTAACACAGCTCCTTGGAAGGGTAGGGTTGGCTGTTTGCCATCCTTTCACTGCTAACCTTTTTTGCCCTGGTACCATTAACAGATGGGCTGAGGAGCAATGCCTCAGCTAAACACTGTCCACAGACTGCCCTGGACACTGCCTAGAGCTCTCTGAGAACATCTGAAGGGAACAACATGCGCTGGCAGGGGTTATGTGCACTGGCAATTGGGGATTGCAAACACATGCTTCAGCTATGCAAGAAATCTCTGACTTGTTCTGAACGCGATTCTGCCTGAGTTTCTTCCCAGGAACATTCCTGTTCTTCACAGTTTACCAGTTGCAGGAAAGGAGAAAGGGGGAGGAGGGATTTTAAGAGTAAGGGAGAGGAAAGGGAACAAATCTTATAGCGCTTGCCCTAGCCAAATTCCTCCAGAAGGACAGGGTGTGGAGTATAGACTCCAGAATTTGGCATGATCCCAAGAAAATACGAACTGCAAAATTAAAACCACTTTTAATTAGTCATTTGTTTTTACATAAGGAATAAGTCTCTGTTTTTCTGAAGTAATTCAGTGTCTGCTATCACATAAACCAGGCAGCCCCTGCCAAATGGTGCTGCATGATAGAAGGCAAGCACAACTAGGTCTCTGAGAACACACTTTATCTCCTCCAGGAGACAGCAGTGCTGTTCAGATCCGCATTCTGGCTCCTGAGATGAAAAGTCTCATCCCTAAGAGTGAGAAAGTTGCAGACGCAGTCCTCATAGGTGGGAGTAATTTGGTGTCTGAGCTGGAGATGAATGATTAAGCTGGTTTTCTATTATATGAATACACACACTGTGGCCATTTGGAGGGGTGGTCTGGGTGTCACATTGCTTCTGGGCGTACCTTTGAACAGGAGGCGTAGGCTGTATCCAGGTTGGGTCTCTCCTGAGCCAGGGATGACCCTGCAGCTGAGGTGTGAAGCTGGCTGTCAGCAGCACACACACAGGGTTTGTGTTCTTTCCAGTTGCGACCACCTAAACTGTCAGTTTGTTCTAAGAGTGTTAAGTGTCAGCCCAAGACCCTCCCAGAGCACTCAACAACCAGAGCAGTGCTCCTGTGTGGAGTTGCCCAGGGCTAAATTTGGAACCTGCTGAGGTAGACAAGTGCTTCCAACAGGAGAAACCAGTGAAAGAGGAAAGTTGTAACCCAATGCTACCTGCAGACATGCACTCAGAGTAACCTCCATAGCTCAATTAACTATATTAAGTACATACCTGTAATTAATTTAATTTAACTGAGGTTTTCTTCCCTGCATTGTGTGCCTACTGTACCAACCTCTTAAACTTCTTGCTGTGTATATAATTCAACCAAATGTACATACAGTACCCATGTAGCTTAGTCACTCCAGACACCAGGGAGAGTATTATTTTGCTGTATTTGGCTCATACTTCTGCCTTCACACAGGGGGTAACTTCACTGGAATTGGTCATGCTCCATTAGCCCAAACCCAGAGCAAAGCCCGGCAGTTATAAATTACTTGCAATAGAGGCATTGTAATTTCTGTAACACCATGTCCTGCTGAACATGGATGTGGTTTCCCAGTCTCCCACTAGGAAACAGAGAATTAAAGATAGAAAGGAAACTCATCTTCCCTTTCTTTGTTATAATTCAGCAATATCAAAGATATCAACAGATTGCTGTTGCCTCGCGGTGCTGTGTAGGAGCCTTGCCCTGTATATGCTACACTAAACAGGAATAATTGGTTGATATTAAGAAGCAGAGGCTAAAGAAGTATTTCTTTAACTTTGCTGTACATGGTGTCAGGACAGTGGTTCTCTACTTGTGAGGGTCCCCTCCTTCCCCTTTTATTGCCTTCACATTCTGCATTTTTATTGTTAATAGCCCATGTGGTGAAGGAAATGGGTGAACAATTTCACTCTGACTGGCTTTTATTAATCCCAAATTATGGATCAAGTCGCAGTTAATGATGGCCCTGGTGATTTATGAATTGCAATTTCTACTCCTACGAGTCCTGGACAGTTGGAAGCTGTCAGGTGCCAGCCTGAGCAGCTGTTGCCTGAGCATCAGTTAGCACCGAGGAGCAGCGTGTGCATGGATGTGTGAAATGGCCCATCTCTAGGCAGAGTTAATTGCATACCAGTGCAAGAGAGACTGGAGCTGCTTTCTGCAGGTTGCACACTGTGTTATTAGTTTCCCAAGGGTGGAAAGCAGACTAACGCTGAGCGATTTGAAATCCAAGTGAGAGATTTTATTGCAGAGGTTAGAAGGCTGCTGAAAGAGAAGCAAAGAAACACACAAGGAATATGTGCCTGACACATCAACACTTCTGAAGTGAGCCTGAGAAAAGAGGGACAAAACCAAAGTGATGAAGAGAACAGCAGCTCCGGAGCTGAGCAAGAGCTTATGGGTATCACAAGGACAAAAGAGGAGAGCCCTGTTCTAGAGGAGAGCCCTGTTCTTCGCTCTCTTTGGAGAGGAAACACTGAAGTTTTGATTCGTTATCACTGAGTGATTAACTCTGATATTCCCTTGGGAAGGAGCTTGCATGGATGTGAATGCTGGCTGGTGCCCAGCATCATTGCTACTTTGGATTAAGTGAAAATGCACAGGCTTTCTCAGTTCTGTTGCCCTCTGCATTGACACAGGTCAGGGAAAGGAGGATTTCTTCCTGAACTTCCGTTGACGTATGACCCTTATGTTGGTTGAATGTGTATGATGACCAAACCATTCAGCTCTCAGACAGACTTCCCCTGTCTGAGGCTTTGCAGCTCTCACAGTCTGTCTGTTTACAGAAGTATTCCAATTATTTGGAATGATGACATCATCCTTGCAATTAGCCCAGAGCCAACACCAGTACACCTACAAAATGGTTATTCCTGCTGGGAGAAAACCACCTTCTCACAAGGATTCTGGAAGGATCTGGAAGGTGAAGCAATTTCCCATCTATATTTCCTGGTGTCCTTCCATGAGATCTGGAGTAATTCTTCCTGGAATTAGAAAAGTACTAAGCAGTAAATGACAGTTCAGGCCGAGGAAGCCAAACCAGACTTAGCTCTGTCAGCAAAGGCGGGTTGTTTGCCCCACATTTCCAGATCTCCTCAGCAGTTGCATTTTCCAGGTTTGAGCAGGTTACCCAGGTTACTCAGTAAGTACTCCCTGAGTAACCTGTATTTGTTTGAGAAAGCATGATTATTGCTTGTAACTTTTGAACCTCAGCAGTCACACAGAGATTACAAGTGCCTTAGGAAAGGCATTTTGGCACGTCTCGTCTTGTCCCACACACTTGCAGAGCCCTCTCCGGCACACTAAATCCATTGTCTGTTGGGTCACAAAAGTACGTAAGCTGGCTGAGCCCCAGGATCATCCACTCTTGAGACAAGCTGGGCCAGGGATGGAGGGAAGGAAATCCTAACAATGGCTCTGAGATGGGGCTCTCCTATCTTGCCTTCCCTGCGTCCAGCACCTGCACTGCACAAGGCAACTCCACTCAGCTTAAATTTAACTCCGAAGTAGGTTTGTCCATCTCCTTGAGGGCACAGTGTTCAGCAGCCCCTCACTTCCGTGCAAAGCCCCATGGCTGCCCCCCACAATGCATCTTCATGGTGGCCCTTGGAGCAAGCAGGGCCTGGGTAACTCCTGCAAACAGTTACAAGGAAATGCTTCTCCTCCTCTCCCCCCCAGCCCAGGGAAGCTTTGTTAGAGGTCTCCCCTGAGCCCTCGGAGGGCTCCGCAGGCACTGACCACACACCAGCGCTGGGACAGCACGACTGGAAGGCGATGGTGTCCACATGCCCTCACCAGCCCTGCGGAGTCCAAGCCCAGGACTGACCAATCTGACATCATTAGGCCTCGTCTACTGCAGATGGGCTCCAGGTGTGTGTGATCAATGCGTTGGCGATGTAATCAGAGCAGTCTGGGTTGGGAAGGACCTTGAGATCACCCAGTTCCAAGCCCCGGCCATGGGCAGGGACAGATGACTGAAATGCTGTAAGTGTACGTACGGCCGGGATGATGTATATTACAGTGACATCCATTGTATACATGCTGTACATGACATACGTCGGGCTGTACAGGTGTACACCGTGCCCCCGCTGCTCCTCGCGCGCAAGCCGGGGCGGGGGTTGCGGTCCCTTTAAACGGGCCCCCCCTTTCCGCCGACACGTTCCAGCGCTGACCTCTCAACCAACCTCGCTGCGCAGCCCTTCCCCGACTCCCATTGGTCAGATGGCGCTGAAGGTCCCGCCTTCCGGAACTGCTAGCCAATGGGAGGAGCGCTAAGCGAGAGTCTGGGTTAGGTTGGTGCGTGTGGCCGATGGCCGGCGAGCCGCGGGTCAGTGCGGGGGGCTCGGGACGGGGCTCGCTGTGAGCGACGGGGCTTTGGCTGCGGTGGGGGGCGAGGGGAAGGGGTAGGGTCCGGGTGCGAGTCCGAGTCCGCTCGCCGAGGAACGGGGGCCGGGCCCTCCGGCGCTGAGGGGATCGGGGCCCGCCTTGAGGCGCTGAGGGGAGCGGGACCCCTCTGAGGCGCTGAGGGGAGCAGCGGGACCCCTCTGAGGCGATCAGCGGGGCCCTCACGCTGGGCTGGGCCGGGCCCAGCTCCGGGCGGCCGCCGCCGCCTCGCTGTGCCCTGTGGAGGCGGCGGGCTCCCGGGGTGGGGATGCCCCTCAGGGGGTCATGGTTTGCCGCGTGTGTCGGTGCGGGGCAGCAGCCGGGGGTGCGGGGATGGGGCGGGCAGAGCCGGGCTGTTGGCCCGCCCGGGGGAGAAGGGAGAAGTGCGTGGGGAGAGCAGGCTCTGAGGAGGGCGCTCGGCTCACAGCTCCTCAACAGGCAGAGGTCCCGCCGCGGGTCGTTAGCTCAGAGCTGTGACCCTGCCTGCAGGCTGCGGGGCCGTGGTCGGTGCTGGGGAAGGCCATAACGTGGTAGTGGTTTCACCATGGGAATGCCTGATGAGGACAGTGGGAACGTTAAGGTCAGTGGAGTGCTGCGGGAATGTGAGGCGGTGTTACCCGTGTCTGACCCACCAACAGACTGCGGAGCTGAGGGTTGAAGGGAAAAAAAGCAGGTTCCTAATGAGTCGCTGCTGTAGGCCCAGCGGTAATTAAACACAGTGCTCGGGCAGGTGCTTGTCTTTATGCAATAAAGCAACCTTGTCATACAGGTTCAAATTAAGTGTAGCTTGAGCTGTCCTTATGTCAAACAAACCAACCAAATCCCACAACAGTGCGCTTCCATGACATTAAAATGTGCATTCTTGACGTGTGAGGAACCAGGGATTTCTGGAAAAGGCGACATGAAGGATGATTTTGGTCAGTTTTTAGTGTGCATTGGTGGGAGATCTGATGTGGTTCCATGGATTTTTTTTTACCCTAGTTAAGGACACTTGGCTCAAGTGACTCCTGCTTTTTAATAAAGTTATAGAAAGTGGTATTTAAGATGTGGAGCATCTATGTGAAGGTTTGTCCACGGGTAGATCAAAAAAGGGTTGAAAATAACATACTTATTATTGAAGAAATATTGCTGTTAGAATGGCTTCTTTTGGATTTTACCCTGAGAAGATGGGGTGGAAGGAAGGCTTTGTGTGTGTGCTTTATATCCATTCTCCATGCTAAGAAATAAACACTGGTATGAAGGAAACTCATCATGTGTGATTCCTGTTCCAGGTGCTGGTGTAAAAGATGAGGCTGAATGAGAGCCGGACAAGATCCTTCCAGGCTCCTGTCACCATCCATAACTACCCGGGCAGGCAGGTCTATGTGTTTCCCAATGGCCGCTCTGATTCGGAGGAGTCATCAGAGGAGGAACTCAACGTCATGGAGTTACGACCAAGGGGCAAGGAGCAGCAGCGATGCAGCACCTCTCGGGACAGAGTTGGAGACGTGGTACTTCTGGAACGGGAGATTATGGAGGGCGATAACCTAAACAAGCTGGCCCTGCAGTATGGCTGTAAAGTAAGAGCTATCTCTGTTTGTTTGGGTTTAATTGCTTTACAGGTATTTTACATGTAGCTTAGCTTCCAGAATTACAGGAAGGCGTGTTGTTGTCTAGTGGTTTTTACACTGCAAAGTGTTTGCCCTGTGGCTTTCATGAATGGTCAATATCTGTGTAAAACTGAGCTGAAGAAAGGCAAAACCCAAAAGAGTTCTTCACCTAGCAGCCTAGGGAGATACTGTCGACCTCACACCCTGCGTGACCTGCTTTCCTGTTCAATTTGAGTGACTAAGTGCAGTGTAGCAGTCATGGTTTGTAGTTTGTTATTTAAGTGAGGGCAAACAGTAGGAAGCTGAGTGCAGAAATAAGGGTCAGAGCCCTGCTCTCCAGCAAACAGTTTTAGAAACTGAGCAGCACAAAGAAACACCACCGTGATGGCATCTGGTTTGGGGGTGTTTTTGTTTATTTTTTGTAAGTAATGAGCTTAACATATTGCAAGGGAGGCCTGTGTCTAACAGGGGTGGACTTGGCAAAGGAGAGATGCCAAAGTTCAGGTCACAGATCCTGGGTGCTGTCAGTGCATGCGGGTTTTGATTGATTGCTGTTGTACCCAGAAGCATGTGCAGTGCAGCAGCTGCAGGCAGAGGGGAGCGCCTCTGCACGGGGTTGCAACAAAACTACAAAACACATTTCTTTGTCCCAAAGCAGAGCGCTTTATAGGAAAACTGTTGAAAAGTTTAATTACCTGATCTGGACATTAAAAGTGCCCTCTTGTTCAGCAGTTAAAGCTGTATTTTTAGAGCCTCCTTTATCTGCAAGCCAGACTGTGATTAAAAAGTTCCATGATGCAAACAATTGGAAAGGGACCTGAATAGGGATAATGATACGGCACTGGCTCAACTGCTGCAACACTACTGCAGACTGTCTTGCTTGACACAACAGCTGTGTGGTGCAGCTGAAGCAAGAGGGCTTACAGGGATTGCGACAATTCCTCCCCTCCCATTCCCTTAGAAACAAAAACAAAACAGAAAAGAAGCCCTTCTAGGTTCTGCTGACAAGCCTGATGTGAGTGGAGAAGCAAGCCTGGTAGGACTTGAATAGGCCTTGATTGGCTTCAGGAGGGCCTGAGAGCTCAGAGCTGCAGCAGTTGACTTTGTAGTTGTGACTGCTTATCTCTGAGCAGTAGCCATTGTGTTGTTACTGCCACTGGTGCAGGATCACAGCAGGTCAGTGAACTCGAAGGGGGAAGATTCAGAACAACTCCTGATTTATGGCATAAAAATTTCCCCTGTTCCGTAACTCAGGAGGACTCAGTCCCATCCCTGTCCCTCTACCCCCTTCCTGGCCTCCAGGAGCCTTTCAGCCCTGGCATGCACAGGTGGATCTGTTCAGTCCTGATGAAGGCTGCTGGGCTCATCAGGTGGGGAAGGTGAAGCTAATGGGGAGTGACCAGATCATAAGTGTTCTGCTGCCATGGGGGAAAAACTGCCCTACTACCTCCTCCCTTCTAGAAAAGGCCATGGTGACCTGTTCCAGGTAAACTGAGGGGGTACAGAAATCCTTATTATTGGGGATTGGTGTATTTGGCCCTGATGAGTTTTCATGTTTTACTTCCACAATTAAGCAGCTCCTGAAAGGTTACTTGGGACATCAGTGAGGAAGAGCTATAACTGCTAATACGTGTGATTGTGTTTAAAAATCCAGGATGAGCTTCTCCTTGAAATCACTGAGAACTTGCCATTGGTTTCAGAATTGTCAGGGCCTCCTTGGGGTTGGGATGTTAAGATGGTGCCACAGATAGCTTTGTGTGTGCTACAGATCACTTGGCAGAGATGCAAAGCACTTTAGAATTCTCATTTTTACTCTTGACCATTTATAGCCCTGCCTGGCTTTTGGCATTGTTCTGAGCTGGGACAAGAGGAGCTGGCTGCAGCCAAAAAGCAAGTACAGAAAATAAGCCTAAATGGCGAGTGCTCTTGCATGCCTCCCCTCAGCTTTGTTTGTTGTTTCTGCACAAGTGCTGCTCCTCTTTCTGTTACCAGAGCCTTAGCACAACATGGCAGTGTTTGACTGCAGACCCTGCAGGAGATATTTACTGTCCCAATAATGTTTTCATTGGAACTAAACCAGCAATTGAAGCACCACCTTAGTTAGGAGGCTTTGGGTGAGATTGTTATTTCATAACTAAATAATGTTACAGGGTTTAAGTCCAGATGTTATGCTGGAGCAAGCTGTGAAGGGTCTGAATAGGCAGCCTCGGGGGCACCGGATTAGGACCTAGATTAAATTTCCCATTTTCAGATTCCTCAAGCTTTGCAGAGTCAATGTGAGACTCGGGCGTTCATCTCATCTCTCACTTTCAGCAGTCTTGCTCTCTCTGGCTGTGACATGGCAGACTTGACACCTTCCAGGGATTGCTGGTGATGAGCTTGGTGTGTGGTTCCCTGATAACCCATATGAGCTGGAGGGGAGTTCCACGGGGAGCAGCAGCTCTGCAGGCAGAGAGGCTGCAGCTCCTCTCTCCTGTGGTTGGTGCTCAGCCTCCAACCTGTGGGGCCACCCTGCAGGGGAGAGGGGAAAAGGGGGGCTGCCTTCCTCTTGGCACCTCCTGCATCTTTGCCCTCAACTGTGATGATTTTGGTGCTGGTGGCAGTCACACATTTGCTTAGGAAGTAAAGCACTTTCTTGGTTTTAGTTCCCCAGTTTCACTGGTAGCCTCAGACTTGTGAGGGTGCAGAGCATGCGGTTCATACATCATTTACTACACTTGTAACAGAACAGATACAACTTTATCCAGACATGCAGACTGTGTCTTTTCTGTGGTACATCAGAAGTGGTTCAGCCCCTTTGTGTCACCTTTCTCTTTGCTTTGAGGTCTTGCTCTTTGGTTTGCATCCTATGTTTTACCCTCAAGGTTCTTTCATATCTCCACGGCTGCTTTGGAGAGCTCCTTCCACACATTAACACCCCTTTCATTTTCTTTGACAGAGGATTTAGGGCAGTTGAGAAGTTCATGTACTTACCAGGTGGTTGTGAGTGGACACTGTATTAAGCTGTTCTCTCTTTATGTAACATTAAACAAAGAAGCATGGGTTTGTCTTTTCCTTGATACCAGCTGCCCTTGTGACTTAAGCTGTACTTATGGTTTGGTCTTTCTTGCTCTTACTGCTGTTTGCATCATGAGCTGGGTGGGAATACCAGTCAGAGCTGGGAACTACACACACTCTAGAGATGATCACAGATACATGGAGATTATTGCTTTACGTGTACCTTCAGTGGGAGCTTTTACCAGCGGTGGAGAAATGAGCCATGTGAGCTGCTAGTGTGCAGGAAAGGGACAGTGCCTGGGGACATGAGCAGAGGATGCTTGTGTTTGTGGCAGGGGTGCTCGACAGCTCTCTTCCAAGTGGTGATCTAGCAATCAGACCTTGGTGTGTTCTGGAGACAGGGCTCTGTTCACTCCGAAATCACTTTCTGAGCAGGGGGAGGGTTTTGCCTGCGTGTACTGATGTTGTCCTCACCTTAAGCAGGCATTGTTTAAGGTATGAAAACTGAGGATCTGTTATGAAGACTCTTCTTGCCTTAACCTGGATTAGAAAGCGAGAGAACAGTAAAGAAAGCTAAATGAAGGAAAACCATTAAGTATTAAGCAGCGTACAACCCATGAGAGATAGAAAAGCATGACAGGAGGTTAAAGACTGATTGATGACATGGGCCAGTCTCTGTCCTGCAGGACCTGGAACATCCCCAGAGCAGCTGGGATATCTGCAGAGCACAAAGCCACTTGCAACCAGGGCTTGCTTTTATTTCTGACAGCTGCTTGCACACTTCCTGTTTCAGTCTGGGATGTCCTACATCAACATCCATGTCCTTCAGTCTGGGATGTCCTACATTAGCATCCATGTCCTTCAGTCTGGGATGTCCTACATTAACATCCGTGTCCTTTTTGGGTTCTGTAGGTTGCAGATATCAAACGTGTCAACAACTTCATCCGGGAGCAGGACTTGTATGCTCTGAAGTCCATCAAGATCCCTGTGAAGAGCCATGGGCTGCTAACGGAGAGCGGCGGAGACCTGAGGCCAGTCCCGAGCGTGCCCACACAGCCCGGCCTGACACTTGTGGACTTAGGGGAGCCTGATGGGGGTGTGAGCAGCAGTGCTGAGAGCAGACACCTCAGCGACTACTTCAAGGGGATTGACAAGAGCATTCAGGACGCTGTGCAGGCCGAGGTCCAGCTGAACACCGAGTACTGCCCGGAGGCACTGGAGCGGCCGCTGCCTGAAGCAGGGAAGCAGGAGACCAACAATGGAGCGGACTGTGGGATCCAGTGGTGGAATGCAGTTTTTATTATGCTCCTGATAGGAATTGTTCTGCCGGTATTTTATATCATCTATTTTAAAACACAAGGCCTGGTGGCCCATACCTCCAACACAACACTAACCTCAAACGTTTCAGCAGATGGATTGGAAGGGAAATTACCACAGAGCTCAGTTGTAGATAAAAAATCCTAAAGGGGAGAGGCAGCTGCCTGCAGCCTCTCCCCCGGCGCTGCAGCACGAGTGCAGAGACAGACTTGAGCACAGTGAGGGGTAACAACACAGATGATTTCTATTTTTGTTAAGTAGCTGGTGTTGTGAGCCTGAACTTGACTGAAGTGCAGCAATGTGCTGCTTATGGAACAATCAGGATGCTTTGTTGCTTGTAAGGATCATCAGGCAGCTGGCTTAGCATCCATGAGCTCTATCAAGGGAAAAGTATTTTGTAGCAATCATCTACTCATAGTGGTTGCTTCAGGTATTTCCTAATGCCTTGTCCAAGCAGCGACTCCTTTGCTGCTGGATAGAGTTCAGTATTAATGCTGTCGGAATGTTGGGGGTTGTTTGCATTTTACGAAAACCCCCTTATTGCCTCAAGTATTAATGGGGATTCAACTCTTCCTCTGAACCGTCAGTTTTAGCTCTTGCAGCCCATGGTAGCTTTGGTGTACTTGACTCTAAACCGTTGTCCTCCAGTGCATTACTCGAGGTGTGCAGTGGCACAAGGCTGCCACCAGCACCTCACCTTTCCATGCCTTTGAGGCCACCTCTGCCCATCGGTAAACTCCTTCAGAGGCATTTTTGCAGTCCAATGACTCAGCCAGAGCCAACACACCTGCAGGACTGCAGATAGCCAAAGAGTAGAGGAGGAAGAGAAGCAGCGTTAGGCCTGGGGTATGTATGTAGTACACACTTCTCAAAGGCTCGTTGTTTTGGGTGAGGGGGCTGTGTTTAGCCAGTATTATATTTTTAATAATAATAATAATAATCTATAATGGTGCATCTCTAACAAGCAAACACCTGGTGTCAGTGCTGGGTTTGAGTTTCCTTGGTTGTGTTAGGGAGTGTCACGAGTTGCGTTTGATTTGCAAGGTCCAGGACTGCAGCCTTGCATTGCCTTCGTGGCAGGAAGTAGTGCAAATCCTTTACAGGCTGTGGACTGTGGAGCTGCTGTGTGATAAAGGTTTGTGTGAGCTGCTGACATTGGTGTTCACAGGCTTTGGAATTCATGGGAGTGCCCACTGAAGCTGCAGATGTTCGTGGGGTCCCAAGGCATTGGCAGCCCCAAGGTCAGTAAACACTACATGGCAGAGAGCAGGAAAGGAGCCTCTGGGGGGGCTTTGCCTCAGAAACTGAATTCAGCAAATTCAGGGCCCATGACTGCAGGTAAACGCTCTCCTAGAACAGACTCGAAGGTGCTTTGCAGCACGGTGTGTGACACCTGCCCGGGGTGAGGCGAGGGCTCAGCAGGGCTCCAGCCCCTCTTTGGGCTGCTCTGCAGAGAAGTGCAGGATCCTTCCCAGTGCCCAGGCTGTGCGGTGCAGAGCTGAGCCTCGCTGGGCTGGGGCGAGGGCAGGGCCCAAGGAAGCACCTGCAGGAGCGTGGGATGGGAGTGAGGCAAGAAGCACGGTGTGCTGTTACAGTGAAAACCTGTGTTTCCTGCAGCCCTCCATACAGGTGCTCAGGAAACCCTGCGGGAACCTGATTTTGTAATGGAGGATTCCAAAGTACCTTATACTGAACTTGTATTTTTCTTCTGTGAAGGAGCTGTATCTGTTTGAGGGGGGAACTGGGATGTTTTCAAATAAAGCACAAAGGGGCACCCCATGGCTCGGGCCTTTTTTGTGGTGACAGAACTGGACAGAGCTAAACTGTGTCCTCTGAAGGTCGGGTGCTGCACACAGTGTCCCCACCGGACACGAGGTCAGACACTGCTTTCTGCCAATGGGGCTCACGGAGCTGCACTAAGGCCAAGGATTCCAAATGCCTTGCTGTGTCCTGCAGGGACTGGAATGGAGCAGCACTGCCTACAGAACACACCTGGAGCAGGTAAGGGACCCTCTCACCTGCAGGTTTACCACCAATTTCAATAGCATTCTGTTTTCAGGTTCTTGGAGAGCTGGTTGGTAACAGGCATGCACTAACAGAGAGGGGCAAAAGGAACGCGTGCTCTGAAACACGAGAGAGGCTGGAGTACACAGTAAAAGCCAGTATCTTTACTTCAGTGAATGCAGGATACAAATATTTTACAACAACCTCTAGCATTTTCTTAACCATTTGATAAAAAGTTCACTAGAATATTTATTGTATATTGAAGAAAAAACAACACATTCAGGGAAAAAAATTGAGATTAACTTATTTGTTTTTCTTAAAAGATTCGTCTCAAGGATGGCAACAAAGTCCAGCTTGTGCCGCCAAACGGCTTATCAGCATTAAACCGTGAACAGCTTCTTTGTGAACTGTTGACTACAAACATTTACCAAATACATAAATCTCTTTTAAAAAAGCCATTTTAAATATAGCAAAGCAGTGTTCTCTTGCACAGCAAAGTGAAGAAAGTTTCTACTAAGATTTAAACGTTTACATTTGTTAAGTCTTTCTTTCACATTCTAATTCAACTTCTTCCCAGGATCGATTGTTAGGAGTTATTTTGTTCCTTATTTACTATGTATTTCTTGTGCGCACAGTAATTCCAAGGTTCGGATGCGGTAGTGTCCTTTACGTGGAAGGAAAGGCTAAAGCGGGTGTTAAACACCGCGGTGTGAGCTCGGCGATGGAGGCGACGCTCACACCAGATACAAACCTTACACGGGGCTCAGGCGAGGAGCGGCTCCACTTGCAACTTCAGTCAGTAGAGTTAATTGAAAAAAGGAGGTTTTTACCTGTTGAAATCCCTGTGCTCTGACATTTCCCTTTTTTTTTTTTGTTTTCTTATAAAACATTTTTACAATTCCTAAAAAAGTGAAGTTCCCTGTTACTAAAAATCAGGATTCCCATTGATTCCATGGCGCGAGATTCTCCTGCCCCGGGAGGCTGGGGAAAGACTTGGTCTGCTGGAGGCCGGGGCACCATGTGACCAGGCCCCTGCGCCCGTCTTAGGAACAGATTATCGTCATCATCATCATCATTATTATATTTTGTAACTCATTGGTGCAATTTTAATACAAACTCTAACCCTTACGTAGCTTTTTTCTTTAAGAGAACAGTACTAGTACTGTTTAAAAACCTGCATAGAAATAAAGACTATTGAGATACAGTCAGCAAAGCCATCTGATAAGGCACACAAGAAAATAGACAGTAAATGTGAATGCAGAACTCCCACTCGGATGTACAGCAAAGTCCATACATGTGCATAAATAATGAACCACCACGGGACGGGCCCGAGCACTGAAAGGTTCTTAAAGGTGGTAAGTGAGGAGGAAAGGGGCTGCTTTGGAGCAGCTTCTCTAAACCTGGAACTTACTGTGGTCAGCGGAGACCCACTTCCAAGGTAAGGGGCTGAAAGGAACAGAACCCGGTCCGTGTTTTACACTACCAAGAGCTGTTCCAACCGGCTGCTTCAGCAGCTGAGGGGAGCAAAGCACTGGGGCTGCACCCCTCGGGGGCCGGGGGGGGTCTGTTTAGTTACAGCATCAGGTGATTGTTTCAATTACAAAAATTAAAGCCCAAGGAAAAATTGGAAAAATTCACCAATATCGGGGATAACGTCAGAGTTTGGGTAACGGGAGAGGTCGGGGTCTCCCCAGAACTACCATGGGCAGGAAGGTGCAGAGAGGAGACCTGCAGCCAGGACTAGGAAAGGGACCGTGTTTCCCCAGCCCGGCACAGGCTGGTGCTCTTCGGTTCTGGTACCCAGGAGGGAAACCTGCAGCACCAGCCTGGCTGGGGCCCCTCCAGTGGGCACCAAGTGACACAGGGAGACACCACTGCCCTTGCGCTGTGCAAACCCAATCCAAAGGCAAACCCCAACCTCCTCCACTGGTGCCACAGCAGGCTCTGGGTGACTCCTTCCCACTCAGGGAAGCGGCGGGCTTATTCCCGAGGCTGAAGCCTTATCCCAAGCCATTTACCAACTTAAAGAACCTTTTGTGCTCACCTGATTCGTGCCATTTCCCTACCATGAGAAATTAGGTCAAGCTTTTTCCACTGTTGGTTTGGTTTTTTAACTCCTCAGAAGAGGCAGCTCCAAAATGATGCCTTAAAATGTGTCGTAACAGATTTTTTTTCTATTTATGCAGGATGAACTTAACACCGGGTTGGTTGGGTTGGTTTTTTTTTTGCCACTTTGCTATTTATATACATATATATAAAATGTATAATGAAGCTTAACCATACAGCACAGAGATTACAACTGAACGGCACACATTCACCACCAGTGAGGGGGACGACCCCTTTATACACCCTCTGAAAAATCTGGATAATAATATTAATAATAATTAAAATCCAAAGAAAGTACAGTATATTTAACAAAATAGTAAATATTAAACAGTGAATACTCTACTTAATAAGGACCTCGCCCTTCTTCAAGTCGGCGTCAATCCACAAAAATATACTTTTTAATCTGGTGAACGTACAATACGCAGGTACTTACACCGAAGGTGATCATATATTTAGGATGCTATATACACAAAGAGTTTGGCTCAAATTTCAATGTACATAGAAGTGTTCATGGCTTATTTTTCCCCCAAGGTTCCGCCTGCAAGTTTTTCCTTTTCATCTTTGAAAGCAAAAACTAGAAAGTCAAAATAAGATAAAACTATACTCTACAAAAAAGCTACAACGTACAGCTTTGGCTTATATAAATAATTCATAGCAGAATGTGTTCAAAAGTACTGTATATAACTTTATATATAGTCTTCGATTCGTTAGGGTATTGTTTTCTTTAATATAAAATATACATGAGCTAAAATCCGTTTCTATATTTTTCAAAGGTAGGAACGTAAAAACAAATTTGTCAAACCTCTCCCAATTATAACTTAATATATTAATTTTCTTTTGTTAAGGTTCTATTTCCTAGGCTAATATTTTCTGAATATTTCATGCGCGTTCTCTATGTCTCTCTTGCACTCATTAAAAAAATCACTTCTTTGACCCAATACGCTAGGGGTTTTTTTGCACGTGCAAAACAGGGTTTTTCTGTGGTTTATTTCGTTATAGCATCAGCCCTTCTCCATGCACCCTCTGCAATAGAGACCCATGCCGGCGGGGTAATAGAAAGGTCATTTTATGTACAGTATTGCTTTCTTCTTCCTGCTTTTCTACTGCTCTGCTGCTACAAAGCATTATTTCTTAACTACGAGTAACCATACAGCTTGAATAACACACACAGGGACGTTACTACAGGCGAGCCCTCTTGGTTTCTGCAATCTAGTGTGGCAGGGCTACAAGGCGGGTACAACGCTTCGCTGCAAAACAGGTTATAGGATGAGAACAACGAGTCCACGTACGTGCCGGGCGCCATCACTACCTACGGGATTGTTCGGTTACGTTTGACCGGGGACATCTGCCGCTACGCAAGAAGTTTGTAAGTGCCTGATGATTTTGTGTATGCTACACACACTAGCACATATATATGCATGTGGAGATATATATATGCATGTATGTATATACATATAAATACGCTTATTTCATGTCCTTATTTATAAATTTAGATATGTCAGGACAGTTCACTTTGAGAACACAAAACTGAGGAGGCCGCGCCGCACGTTTATGTCACCCACGTGTCCATCCTCATCCGCTTTACCGATGGGCTCTCCCGATCCTCCGCGTTCGGTGGCCGCCCCAGCACGACCGGCGAGTGGAAGTCGCTGCGCGGGTCCTCCCGGTCGCTGCCGTCGTAGGAGCTGCTCGAGCTGCTCAGGCTGTCGACGGGAGAGCGGCCCATCTCCTGCCGCGACGGTGGCGGCGGCGGCGGCTGCTGCTGCTGCGGAGGCTGCGGCTGCTGCTGCGGGAACCCGGAGGGAGTCACACGGTCCCGGGGAGGTGAAATTGGTTCAGATTTGATGTTGATGTTTTGGTTGGTGTTAATGGATAGGTTTGAACCCTGAGATAGCTGGCTGCCAGTACTGGGGGGAAGAGAACCGAAAGGCAGAGGTGAGAAAACACGACACAGGAAAAGAAGGTGACAGTGATGTGCCTGTGTGATGCGCGGTCCTGCGGTTCAACACCCTCAAAATGAGCACATCAGTAAATGCGACTGACTGAGGTGAAGAAACAAAGCTGGAAAAAGCATTAATTCCTAATTCCAAACATTTAAGCTCATCACGCAGGTGACTCCCGTGTAAGGAGCTGCCAGAACACAGCCTGTCTGTGGGAGAATGGAACAAGCACCACGGAACACGAGTGCTTTGCAGCTGAGGAGCAAACCTGAAAGGCAATACACCGTCACCAGCAGACACAAAATTGAACTGCTCTTGTGCTACGTATTCCCTGGTGCACAGTATTAGGCTTGAAGCAGCCGAAGTTCCTGCCCGGCTGTAGCCTGTGGCACCAGTGTTCTTGGGTGTACTTACAACACTGGGGTGTACTTACACGAGAGAGCTGAGGGCTGCTGGACCGAGGTGGTGCTGCTGCCAGGCTGAAACCTGCCCGAGGGACAGCATCCCTGGGGAATTAAATCCCTGCAAGGCAGACAGGTCTGCGCTAGTCAAGGAGTAATCTGAGAGGGGAAAGCAAAAGAACAAGAAAGTAGTTTATAGATTATTTTATATATATACAAATACATGAGAATATATGAGACACACACACACATACATATAAAGGTCTTCTACCAAAAACAAATAAAGGCAAGTGACACAAAGGAGCCCAGACACGAAAGCTTTGAACTCTGGGAGCAGTCTTGACTTCCCAAAGAGCTTAACAGGACATGAGCCTACAAACGACATTTGTTTGCATTATGCTGTCAATTTCTACACGCTGCTGTCTCATACAGCTGCTTCTAAACCCACACATACAGTGTATTCACACATTTTATATATATATATATATATATATATAAATATATATGTACCTTACAGTAATAAAAGTATTTGCATTTTTGAAGATTTTGGACTGCAGACATCTCAAAGTGAAACAAAAGGGAATAATCTGTACGTGCCGTTGGAAAGGGTCAGTGTTTACTAGAGACACCCCAGTTCCGGCTGAGTTCCCAGCTGGGAGGCAGTGTTAGTCAAACCAATACCATTTGGCTGGGTCATGTTCCCGTGCAGCTCATAGTCCCAAACCTAAATCCAAACCCAGTAGTGGAACAGCATGGGCTGCTCCCATCACATCCTGCCTCTCCCTACAATAGCTCCACTCCTTACGCTATGTCTGATGAAACTGTCATCTCTATCTCCAAAAGCCTCTTTATTCAGAGCCAAAAGTACCATTACTTAGAAATACAACTGAAATGGATAACAGAAAATCCAGCAGATCCCTGTCAACAGTCCCGGACTGGCTGTCAGTCCTGGTGAGGCTGGAACGCTCTGACAGCTCTCGCTTCATCCAGAGGTGAAGTTATTTTCTCGCTATCATTTTCAGGTTTTAAAACAAAGCCACAAACACTTCTCTGCTTGTAATTATCTTCTAATAAAGCTTCCTTACAATAATTTCTGGTCTCTTGAGAACACAACAAACTGCTCACAGCCAAATGCACTCCTCCTGCCCTCAGAGGAACCCGTATTCTGCCTCAGCAGGAGTGCTTTGTGCTGTGGTTTGTGGTTGGGGTTTGTCTGGGAGGGGGGGTGGGGGTGTGTTAGTACTGTCATAAAATGACACCCCCATTGGATGACTTTGAGGTTTCCCTTTTAACAGCCTGGAGGAGAGGGAGACCTCCAAGCCCGCAGGTACTTGCTGTGCCCTGCAGCGATGGATATGAATCACCACAGGACCCTTCCACAAGGCCCCGGAGCTCCTGGCTGCCCCCGGCAGGTGAAGCTGCTTCAGCTGCCGTTCGGTTTCATTCCTTCTCCGTTGACATTTTGATTGGAGCCCTGACAAACCTGCAGACTCACAAAGGTTCTCCCCCGAGCTGACTGACCTGAAGCTCTTCTGCAGGACTGGAATAAGAACTAGAACTAACATAAATCAAATACAGCCCTCCAGTGCCCAGGACACGCACTCGACCTTCCACGCAGCCAGACCAGTGACAACCTGCGGGTGTGGAGGTGACGGATGCGCTGTTCTGTGCCACTGGGATTCTGTAGGAGCAGACCTGGAGAAAGTGTTTATGGGACTTCTGTTTCCGTGTGGTTTTTAGTTTGCAATTAGAGCTTTTATGATAACAGACAATTAACTTCTGGTGCTTTAGACACTGTCTTACGGCAGGGGGTGGAGGAGATGCTTTTCCAAAGCATACCTAGGCCACTACACAGCTCTCGTTTCCATAAATAATCAGATATAATCCATAAAGCAGGACACCAATTCCTACACGAGTGACTTGAGGCAAGATGGAGAAGTACAGACAGAGCAGTGCTTCTACATGGTGGAACCTGCTGCTGCCATTTCCAGCTACACCGTACCTTTGACGTTTGTGCCTTGCAAAATAACTGACCTACAGCCAGCAAGATGATTTATGGCCAGATACACTGCTCAAGTGTAAGTTACTGTTTAACTGTCTTCTGTGGGGTTTGGATACTTCTCAGAAACGCCCAGGCTGTTTCAGAACAAGTAACTCAGTTTGTTCTGGCTCTTTCTCCAGCAATCAGTATAAAGAATACTTCCCCAAGCAAAACAACTTATATAAAATAGCAAAACTCATATCCAGCATTTTAATTACAGAGGCAAAAGCTGAACCAATCCCTGCCAGCCCTGGGAGAAACCAAACCCTATCGATCCAGAAAAACAGCGGAGGTATCCCAATTTTACCTTAGTCCTTGAACTGCAGAACCGAGATTGCTGCCAGGTGGTGACTACCCTGAGAATACCCAGATGACAATTTGGTTTCAACATCAGATTTCTGTTTGCAAATCCCCTGAAAGGCTCAATCTAATAAAAACAATTTTAAAGTGTCTCAGAGCTAAAAAAGCTTTGCACAAATTAGTGCATTATCAAAGGAAATGGGCTGCTTTTTACAGTCACATCCCAGCCATAGCGGCACTTCTACATTGTGTAGGACACCAGTTTTCATTGGGTTTGCTGCTTCCCAAGGTTCAGCCTGCAGCCTCTGCCTCTCATCTTGTTGGTGTTCTAGCCTGGTTTAGCCATCAGCTTCCAGGCTGTTCTGGGTGAGGAGCACACACAGCACTGTGCCCTGAAACAAGGCCAGACTGTGCCAGAAAGTAAAGGGATTTGCTAGGTGACAGGTAAACCTCAATAGGGGACTTCAGAACTATTTGTTCACTTTAAACAGCATTAAACACAATCTCTAAACAACCTTTGTGGCAAGCATCGAACCAAGATCTCTCTGCCCAGCAACTTCATCCTTATAATCCAAAACAATTCACCAAGCACAATTCCTCACTGTGCCATTATTGCAACCCCGTCTTCTCCTTCATTCCTCTCCTCAGACTTCACCCCCTTTCAGGGTAGTGACTGCTCGCACAAATGTTCAGCCATGCAGAGGGGTGCTACCATGGGATAACTCTTTACTGCTGCTGCTCCTCTCTAAACCCAAACCCACACAGGGCAGTAGGTGCCGGCCGCACATCTGAGGCAGGAAAATGCCAAGAGCAGCTCATGGATAATAAACCTCAGTGAGCACATCAATACAAAAAGATACAGAAGAAGAAGGGAGTTATTTGGCTGGGAGGCGGCTACAAGTCTGAACTAAAGAAGTGGAGAAAATGTATAAAATCCCATCATTTGGGGGGAGAAATCATTACAAATGCAGGCTGCTCTGTGTTCCAACACTACAGACCCCTGCTGCCACCCCTCCCTGCCGAAAACAAAGATTACCGAGGGTTTGGCCATTCGTTACAAACCTTGAAGGGTTTTTTGGTGTTGTCCTGACCTTAGCACAGGAGTAAGAACATGGTCACTGACAACAGACCAGCGCAGCCGGTTTTACCCATTCCTAAATACAGTGCCATCATTGCACATGGGGTCTATAACAAATAAATAACCTTGAGGCTGAAGTCAAAACTATCTCTGTTGGTACGGAGACCGAACAGGAGGCACGGCATCATGACTTACTCTGCAAACTGCAAACCAATTACCACCGACATCACCGGATTCCTCACTTCTCACCCTTCTGGGGTAAGAAGTAGTTTTAAGGTTCTTCAGCTGAGATGGCAGCAATGGTGAAATGCTGACACTGCCTTCCCATGAGTGCCCACCACACTCCTGACACAGCTACTAAAGAGGACAAGGCCCTGTCTGGGCTCTTTTGTTAACTGAAAGCCCCAGTAGAGCCCGATTCCCTCCTGCTCTTGGAACCAAGCAAAGCAGAATGAGAGGGACAGTACACCCTGAAGTATCAACAACTGCTTAAATGTGAGGCCCTTCTGTTCCCAGATGGACAGCTTGAGCACTGCTGCCGCAATCAATGCACTGCATTGTGTCTGTCTCTCTGCCACCTGACTGAAAGCTTCTTCCTGATTTGAGTCTCAACATTTACACATTTTACAACCTAAAGGCTCATTTGTGATGAATAAGAGCCTTCATTTGCACTGAAGAGGAAAATAAAGTGTCACAGAAATGCAAATTTTCAGGGCTTATGAATCACAAAAGCCTTGTACATCTGACAAATGAAGCCACTTCATAAAAACAAGCTTACCAGTGTTGTAGGCAGTAGGCATGGCCGAGTACACCAGTCCCTGTGGAGGCAAGCTTGGAGTTGTCACGGACACCACAGGGGTAGCAAGAGGCTGTGTAGACTGAGAACTACTTATCCTTTGGGTATTCTATAAATGATTAAAAATAACAACATCTTGTGATATCAGCAGGAACAATGGAAAATCAAGTGCTACCACAAAAACAGCATCCAATTAAAACCTGTTTCTTTGCTTTATTTTTCAGTTACGAATACATCAGGGTAGATTTTGTAACCAAGCCAAAGCATTCAAGACAACCAAAACGATCTTGGCAAACCGAAACGACAGATTAATGCAGACTCAGTGGTCTGCTTCCCGGGCATGCAGATGGCAGCAGTGTTAGAGCTGGGGGACACAGAACCAAATGCAGTTTCTTAGGGACATATCCAGCAATTCTCAGAAGCTCTTAAGTGATTTAAGAGTTTTGACTCAAAGAGGTTTGGGTGCAGATGGTGGGGGCAGTTCCACCAGAGAAGTCTCCCACTTCCCAGGTGTGTACCCAAATGTCACTGTTTTAGCTGCTGGTTTGGACACTGACTACACCTGTCCTGGAGGAACGCAGGGATGGACATTTGTGTGGATAGGGCTTCAGTGATAAACTGATCTCGCTGTTCCCATGGTTCCCGAGAAACTGAGAGAGGAGTGGCTGTAATGCAGGTTTGTTGCAAGGCAAATGACACTGGAGTTCACACGGAGCAGCCATGCTTTTTGACAGGAAAACCATCTACACTGCATTATCTGACTGTGGGCACGAGCCGGCTACTTAATAACAGCCTGCCCTTCCCATACACTGCAATGAACATCTGCTCGCTCAAACTGAGCTCTTTAACCAAATCTGCTGTTTGGAAAACCTTGCATTAATCACGGTGGGAATATCACCAGGCAGTAAAGCTGCTCTGTCACAGAACGTACGACTCCTCATGGCAGCACCTGTACACGGTCCTTCACAGCGTGCAGCTCAGCACCATCCTGCTGTGCCAGACGCTGTCAGGAGCGGGAAACGCTGCATTCTTCTATTGTTATTTTTAAACATCAGATGCTCACTTTTACCTGCTGAAGCCTGCCTGAGCAGTATCAGAAGTCTCTGCACCCCATGCTTCTGTATTCTTACAGAACCATTCCCAATTGAGGGAGCTGGATTTCAAACTGCTGAAAACACAGATTTACAGCAAGGCCCTCTCTCTCAGAAAATATCTGCTACAAAAGCAGCAATTTTGCATCTCTCTGGGAGGGTGCCATTTCCTGCCTTTAAATGATTGAAGCTATTACTGCTTTTTCCTTGTCTTGGAAAGATAAACAAGTATTTCAGGAGCTGCAGCACTCGATTTTTGTCTCCACTGTGATCCTGAGCAAGCGATCAGTATTAAAAATGCATGACTGCCTTTGTAATAATAGAACGAGCAGGTACACAAACAGGGCTGTATTCAGCTTTAAGCTTAAAGTTGTGAAAATGAATGGAGGATTATCAACCCTTGGCTTCTGTCTTTCCAATTTAAAGGAAAAACCATATACCACAGCTACCATATTAAAACCAGCCACAGGCTTTCCACTGGCTACCACGTTCTCATCCCCTTTTTGTCTGGCTGACAAAAAAAATCAATCCCACTGATTTTCTGTGTAATTTATCCCTTTAAATCACTTATGTACTTCTGAAAATCTCCCCTACACCAAGTTTATCTGGCATAAAGATATGTTATTAGAGCAGATTTTTTGTGTCTGCCAGGAATTGACCTTTTTCCAAAGCTTTCTTGGATGGCGGCCTATAAAGTTGGGATTACTGCATAATGGAAAAGTTAAGAGGAGTATACTGGGAAACGATCCAGACCAAAGGATTTCCCCATGGGATTTTCTCTTTTTGAGTGGCTAATAAAGGTGGGTTTCTGAGGTAATTTACTTCTGAATATAAGCCTTGAACACTCAGCCATACAAAGGCACTAAGGAATACTTGGATGTGTCTGGTATTGGTTGTACCAGACTCAACCAAAGATCCATACCAAATTTCTGGAAGTTTTTAAATTCCTTTTTAACCTGGTGCAAATGATGGCAGGGGGGAATTCAGCATCTTTATTTCATGCCATGCTACTGTTCAGATCTGGTTTTCATATTCAGGACTCAATTCCAACCCCACGGAGTGAGCGTTCACAGACGTGATTTGGAATCGCTTCCCAGCACTGGATCAGCATCCCAAATTAGAGGGATAAGAGACATAACTCTGCAGGTGTACTTCCTATTTCTCTACCACGTCTGAGGAAGACACAAGTGCATTTTCTTTGTGTGAGCCTTCTTCCCCTAAGAGCTGAGCCCAGTTTGTAACACCACTAGAGGGACCACACTCCACACAGGAGCCATAAACCAACTCGCCCAATCTTTAATGCTGCGAAGAGCACAGCAGCTTTTAGCAGGTACAAATACCTTAATTCAAGGGCTTTCTCATTAACTCCAATTGCAGCGATACTTTGATTAAGTGATTTTACATTGAATTAGAGCTTTATGTCTTGCACTGGAAACCAGACGCTTCTCTATGAAGGCGGGAAGAACGTGTGTGGCAGCTGTTCAACTGCTCAATTAGCAAATCATCCCAATAAACCTTAAAAACTTCAATACTGACTCTGAAAACTCATTTCCCTTTGCTTTAGTAAATCCATTGCTCATGTTTAAGGTAAAACAAATCAACCAACAGCATGCATTCATCAAGAAATTGATCTAAATCACTACGTTTTCCATGCTTTCATGCAATTAGAGCCTCGTATTAGCAACAGGTCCATGTTCGGAAACAAATCAAGGTATGCACTAGGCAGACTGTGTATCTCCACAGCTGCACCATCTTCTGCACGGTTTGTGCTACAGCAGCTAAACAATTTGAAAATTGCTCTAAAAATAAGTTCAGAGTGATTGTAGCCTTACGGCTGTTTTCCAAACGGAATGCCAAATGTTAAAACCTTTTGGGAAAATATAGAAAACAGACAAATCCCGAGAGCTTCCTTTCCAAAGCAGAATAGCTTTCCACTGGAAAAAAAAAAACGTAGGATTATTCACTTGTGATTCTCGATTCCTTTTGGTAAACAGGGAACACCCCTGTGGTTTGATAATCTCACGCAGGATGAAATAATTCTGAGCTCCAAGAAGGTGACCTCACCAGCAATGATGTAATCTCCTTGAAAATAAGAGAAGTAACACAGGGCTTGTGTTACAATCTGAACCACTTCAGGAGTGAAGCCACGATCTAAAAATATGCCAGTAATTTCGGGGGTGATGAGTGGTTATTTGTATTTGACACAAAGGACAGTAAATATCCTATCCACATGGACAGTTACTCTGAAAGGCTCTTTTCCAATGTTCCCTCCAAGAAAAACAGAAGCATTTTCAGGAGAAAAAAAAACAACCCAGAACTTTTCAAATGGAAAGCACCAGGCTTTGGATCTGTTTTCAACTTGAATTGGTTGGGATTTGAGTCTGATAAAACAAATGTATTTTTGTCTGCTACCAAGGGAACACTGGAATTATTTGAGATATGTAATGAAACTACAGTTAAGAGAGCTGTAGTAAAAGGCGTTTTCACAGCATCTTGCTCGCTCTCATCAAACAGTAGCCCAAACTCACCAACTCCAATTCATCCTCCTCCGACTGTACTCAGCAAACAAGAGGGATAACACAGTTACTAAAATAGCATTGCTTTCAAAAATGAAACAAAAAGTCATGTTTGTGCTTCAGGATTTTTACTCATTTTAATTCATAATGTGAATTTGCCACCTGATTCTGTGAGTAATACTACTAGGAAGTTACGATACTTCATGTAGTTTGGGTCAATTAAAAAATACCATACTGAAAGAGTGCAGAAAGAGCTCAGCAAAAACAAGGACACAGCTACACACTGATAACATGTGGATGTGGAGCACGTCAGCTCTGGCAGGACTGAGCCAATAACGATTCAACTCACTAACTACGTATTTTTTACATACAACCATCCCAGCACCTCCACTCTGAAACCTCTTTCCAAATCCATTCAAAAGACAGGCAAAATCGATACTGGATATTATGTTGTTGTTAACAACACAACAGCGAAGAGGTACTGTGGACTACTGACGTTAGAACAGCAGCATTAACAAGATTCTCTTCTTGTATCTATTTCTAATTAATTTAAAAGTGTAATTTTCACTTTAATAACCAGAGTATTTCCGAGCTCTTCTGCACTTCAGCATTCCTAGAAAAACCTGAAACTTCAGGAATCATTACTCTGCACATAATTATAGCTTTTGTTACATGGATTAATTTTGTATTATTCATCATGAATACCAGTAACAAATGTAAGCACTTGTGGCATCTTAAAAACAAATAAGAACTACACAGAGAGTACTTGTATTGTTTATATCCTCTCCTCTTGGTCAGGGTTCATTCCTCCATGTGGAGAAAACACAAAACGTGCACACAGACGTTTTAGATTTCTATGTGACAGTGAAAGATTAAGACCAAAGGCTCTGGCCAACCAAATTAAAGGAAAAATAGAGTAACTCTTCCTGAAAGACCTGTTCTGGTCTCAATGTGTTGGTTGCCTCATGCCCGACACGAAACTTGTGTGCTATTCTAAATCTAGGCTGAACAAACATGACTACCAACATGCCAAACTGCACAGTAGGATTGGAAAGTACACAAACAGGGACTGAAGCTGATCCTCATTACTCTTTTATGCCCGCATTGAAGACATAGCATCCACCACGGACACACAAGGTTGCATTCCAGCACACCACATCAAACAAGAGTTTCTCTCACACCGTCATTATCACTGAAGCTACATTTTATATCCCACAACCATTATGGCTGAGGACAAACAGGTACAAAGAGTGCTTTAGGGCACATTAATATAGCTCACTTCACCAGTGAGATCAGCCATTCCTCCACAGAATAATACATAACCCTTTCTGAAAACCCACACCCTCCAAACCAAAGTTCTCAGTACCAATTGAGTGAGATGCCAAGTCAAACCAACAAAATCCCCATCTCTAGGAGTGTATTCAGGCCCCATTTAGGTTGGCCAGACTATTTTACACTTTAAATAAAAAATTCCTTACAAATTTAACTTTTCCCAAGGAAACAAGATATAACTTTGTTTTTTTCATTAGTGAAATTTCAGAATACAGACACCTTTCTATCCCCTTAACCTATGGTAAGCAGATGAGACGGTGGGTAGAACACTTCATTTTGACAAAAGCACTCACAGAACAAACGCTTTAACTTACCAGTGGTGGCATCATACCCTTGCTGGAGGGTGGGATGACGACACGGAGGTCAGGTTTGCGATTGTTCATTCCAAGGTTACCTCCTCCAGGTGGAGGAGGAGACTTTGTAGGCATGACTTTGCCTAAGCCATTCCCGCCACCACTAGTTCCGAGCAGACTTGGTGAAGCTCGAGAATTCACAAACCCATTTCCTGAAAGAGGAAAAACAAATGTCCCCTAAGTCTGGAGAGAAGCAGCAACACAGACACAGATTTGCAGCAATACGAAACAGAAACTGCAAAATACTTCTTTAATAAAGCTTCCAAAACCCAAACCTCTCACAAAGGTGCAGTAACCGCATCATCGAACAGACAAACACCGCTCTCACCAGAAGATCAATAGGTAAAGGTAATATCACTTCAAGGGCACACTGTGGCTGCTTAAACGCTGAGAGGAGCACATTGCCCAAGAACTATTTCTAATAACATCCGCTGTGCTTTTTTATTTCACCCTTTTAAGTTCCTCCAGGCTGAGCTTGCAAAAAGTCTGTGGATTTGCACAAGTCCATCCCCACCCCCAGAGAACACGAACTATACTGAGCTGTTGTCTGCTGCTGTGAGAATAAAAGGTATCAGCTCTTAAAGGCTCTATTTCTAAAACGTATTCTTCAAGTATCTTGAAGGCCTACAGGGCTCCAGTATCTATGCTCTACTGAGTTTACTTTCACTCTCAAAAATACAGTGGGGCAACAAGGGGGACAAATCCTTTCCCTTCAAATTAATTCCAAGCTCTAACGGCAGATATAAATGTCATTTATGCCCATCAATTTAATTTACATAGGTCTTTCTCTACCTTACTCCTGATACTCATTCTAAATAGAATTAGATACACCAAAGACTGCAGGTCCTGGCTTCAGCACTAAAAATCTCTAAAAGCTGAATACATTTATGACACAGGCCTTAGCTCACACTCAAAACACATCAGAAAAAAGTAAGACAGTAAAACAACAGTTAAGTACCAGTATTCTGTTCTCCTGCACTGACAGAAGCACCAATCATGTTACCAAAATACACTTCTCAGAAAAAAATTAAAGCCACATTCCAATGATTTTATCCTATTTATAGCAACAGTTCCCAAAATACACACACCTTATTCAGCTGCAAATGCAGAAAAAAAGGAGTTGTTAAGGAAGGGGAATTTCACAACAGGGAACCCTATAGTTCACACTACAGAACTTGTGTATGTGTGCATATAAATAAATACAGTTCATAGCACCATTATGTTTATACTAATACTGCAGTTGTGAAAGCAGCCTTTATAGTCACAATCCAGAGAAAAGTCTGTTACACAAAGTTCACTGTGTGGGAAATTCTCTTCTAATAGCCCATAGCGCCACACTGGCATGAATTTTGTATTATTATTCTAATTCAAATAGGCCCCTATGCCCAATCCAATTTTATTACATTAAGTACATATTAATCTGGAAGCAATTAAAATAAGAAAGTTGTCAGCGTGACATTCCACCTCCTTTGGCAACAAATTCAATGCCTTTAAAAGCTTAGCAAGAATGAAGAACACTAACGTGTCTCAGTAAGAGCACAACACTCATGGAGGTGACGGGTACTGCTAAGATACTCAGCTGGTGTACGTGGTAGGTGTGAATTCACCAAGATTGGTGATGAGCCTCCTCCATTACTACTGATCCTCATTACACAGCAAGGAAACTGCCAAATGCAATCTTTAGCTCTGCCCTGTCCACCAGCAATGGAACCCTACATCTTGTTTTAGCAATTTAGAAATGGAAAAAGCAAACATGTACAGGGGCATGTAGTGACAAGTTTAAATGGCTTTAAACTGAAAGAGGGGAGATCTAGACATAAGGAAGAAGCTCTTCCCTGTGAGGGTGGTGAGCCGCTGGCACAGGATGCCCAGAGAAGCTGTGGCTGCCCCATCCCTGGCAGTGTTCAAGGCCAGGTTGGACAAAGGGGCTTGGAGCAAGCTGCTCTAGTGGAAGGGCCTGGAACTGGGATGGGCTTTAAGGTCCCTTCTAACCCAAACCATTCTAGGATTCTAGGAATTATAACGAAGCTCTTGTCCTGATGCGCTACTGAGTTTTCTAAAGGTCTTTTGGAAACAAAATTCTTGCTAAATATTTTTAAAGAAGAAATTTGTAAACTGGTAGAACTTACTGGAATTTGCAACCACAGGATTAGTCTTGTTCACATATGGATGAGCACTAAATTCACAACTTTAAAGCCAGGATTTCAAATTCTAGATTTACTCACTTTATGGATTTCCTACTGTGCCCAAAGCCGGACCATACATGGATGATCCCATACGTCCCTTGAGTTTTTTGAGGTTAACAGAGCAAGGAGGAGTTATTCTAATTTAGTACTTTCCTGAAGCATCTGTATGAGAGGTATGGGAATACATTTTCTGAGAATTCTACCATTTAACTTAGAAATTATGGGGAAATGAAGGAACACAGAAGAAGGAAGAAAAATCTTTTTATGTCAGCATTTTTCCTTGTGTATTAAAAAACACAGCAAAAACCCATTGCGTGATTGCACCTACATTCCTCAGCAGAAAACAGCAGAATTTATCGAGCTGCTTCTAAGGTTAGCAATAAAATTTAGTTAAAGTGGCTGAAAAGCTGGTCTGGAGCTGAGACTATGTACTAGAGCTAAATATACTCTTGACTGCTAGGAGAAAACTACCCACAGTTAGGTCACACAGAAAAACCAACCAGCCAAAGAGGAGAAATTAAGTTCTGTGCTAGCCCTAAGGTTCCTAAAACTCCATGACAGTTTTCACAGAATCATGGTTTTGTTAAATACAGTTATGCATCAATCCCTATCCATTATTAATGAGTGTAAACAGGAGTTATAGACAGCCTAATAGAGCATCAGATTACAAGAGAAACCTTGCACAATGGACAGAGTAAAAATGAAGCAGATTTGGAACCAGATGGGAGAGGAAAAATTATTAGAAAAGGGCGTAATTTTCACCAAATTGCATCTAAAACATTTTTTATAGTACCTTCATTTTCAGCAAAAAAAATGCCACAACATTTAAAGAGCTTACTGTTATAAAATAAGTCTGGGCTTTAATCTAATAATAATAAATTGCTTTTTATTGCTCACTAGGCTGTAAGTATTACCTTTTCCATGCCAAAGCTGCGATGTTCCGAGTTGAATTCAAACTTCAGAACAATAACACTTTGTATAAACAATGGAGTTCTGTACAGCATTTTAGTCTATCCTATGATACCATTTCCTGTCCTCTGTTTCCAAGTATTTCGGTAGCTCGTGTGTTAAATCTGGACAGTGTCTTTCTTCCACACCCAGTACAGTCATTTCCTGCAGCCCTTATTACAAGGCTCTGCCAATCCTTCAGAAACATTTCATGCTTTTAGTAGTGCTGTCAAAAACAACAACCTCCTTGCCATTGCCTCCTCTGTGCAATATCATTCAGGAGCAGCGCAGAGTCAAGGCATTTGTTCTGAAGAAAAGCTGAGAATTTCTTAAAGTGAGTGTTTAGAAACAATATATTAAGAACAGGAGAAACAAAAAATGTCAGAAGTGTGCAATACTACAGGTATCAACCCCATAGCAGCCCTTTGTTATAAATGGCAAGCACCGAACATGTAGCAAAAACTGGAGTATCTCTATTGATTATCTAAAGAAACTTATGCTGGAGCTGCAACAAGAGTTTGGAATATTCATTTTTAGTATGAAACGTAAAGCCTTTTTTCCTGTTAATAATCTAATAAGAAAATCAAATTACAAGTTAAGAGTGAAAGGATAACTAAAAGCATGGTATTTCTTTAGAGCAAGGTCAGGAGCCAGAAGAAGATAATGATTACAGGATGATGCAACTATGCGGCTGTTTGCCAAACTGAAGCTTTAATAACCCCATAAATCCTACTTACTACTTTGTATGATACAGAAATTGTATCTACCCCACCCACTATAGATCTTCCCCAAAGACAATGACTTTATGTTTAAAAACACTATTAAACTGAAAAATGGAAACAGAATATAAAATCCTACGTAAGTGTAAAATAAGACTGTTTTTACTTCCACTGGCAGAGTTTTATTTATCTCTAATTCTGTAAAACAGACGATGAAAACATGTTCAAAACACTTCTTTGGAAAACAGACACCAGTGCAAAGATGATAAGCTCTCAATTATATGAATCATAATTTAATTAGATTTCATGATAACAAACACTGCCAATGTGCATTAGCCTACTTCTTGTTTGGTCAGAAAATGTTTACTTTCGAAGTCACTTCTTTTCTGAAGCTAAACCTTAAAACCCACCCATTTTAACAACTGTGTATTTCGCCTTCAGAGACATAATACAGCTTAATCTCATTTACTATCCTGCAGCCCTCGATGTAGCATTCAATTACATGAGCCAGACTCATACTTCACTATATAAATCACATCACCTGAAACAATGAACACACGTGGCTGGAAAGCGCTCCATGTCCTTATTACTACTCAAGGAATAAATTACAGGCATTGATGCCATTAATCTTTTTTTGTGGTTCACCTTCAGAGAAACTGGACAGTTATACGCAGATTTGGAAAATAACTGTAGGCAAGCATCTAAGCAAGATAAGATTAAGCAAAAAATAACAAGGGTAGTAAATAAATATTGATTCCTCAAATGACATCATACAGCCCAACACGTGTCATGTAATTAGAAGTAAACTGAAAACTGTGCTTTCAATAAGCCATCAATTCACTATGCATCTAGAAGACCAGATAAAATCTACTGAAGAGAAACATTCACATGTAAGATCTTGGTGGGGATGAACGACATGTTGCAAGTAAATACAACAGCAGCATTTCTATGTGCATTCAATGCTCAATTTATTTAATCTTTTTTGTATGACAGCTATAAGTGTAAATTAAATAAAAAATAAGAATCCCTACAGCCAAAACCTAGCATATGCCATTCATAGCCTCTCCAGCTTTGCACAGCAATCACTGCTGATTCTATCATCATTTCAAAGCCTAAGTTCTCTGATAGTTTTGGAAAGGATTTACATCTTAAGCTGAAATAAATGTATTTCCACTGATCTTTACAAATCAATGCTTCAGATAATGCTACGCTTAGAATTAAAACATACCTTTGACAGTAATGTAAGATTTTGAAACATGTCTAACGTCTGCAATTTATGCTTCTAAAGCAGTACTTTGGCTATTAAAGCTCATCAAAAGAAAAACACATGACTAAGTGTCAAGGGAATGCTTACTCATGTTAGAAAACTAAAATAAACCCCTCATTTCCCGGGTTGCTGACATATCTTCATTTTTTTTCCTTGCCTAAAGCTACATAAAAGGAGAGAAAATATTCAAGAATATTCAGAATTTAAATGGTCTTTCTTCAAGACCAGGATTGTTATTCAGAATGCAGCAGAAAACCTAAAACAAAGGAATACTCCTTCTGTATCTCAGTATTACTCAGCTTTGTGCGAAATGCTAGAAGTGGTAACTAGATGACTTCTAGGTCGTTTGCAACAATACAGCTTACAGCTAATGAAATCAGACTTCTGCTTTCTGAACTTGTTGATTTCTATGTATCTATACAATGCCAATGTAAAGAATGGTAAATGATGGATGACAGCAATGAAGTGTTTGGAACATCTGAGGATTTGTGGTGTTGCATCCTGGGCAAGGTGACATTATATGGAATCCCAGACTGGTTTGTGCTGGAAGAGACCTTAAGGCTCACCTAGTTCCAAGCCCTGCCACGGGCAGGGACACCTTCCACTAGAGCAGGTTGCTCCAAGCCCCTGTGCCCAACCTGGCCTTGAACACTGCCGGGGATGGGGCAGCCACAGCTTCTCTGGGCACCCTGTGCCAGCGCCTCAGCACCCTCAAAGGGAAGAATTCTTTCCTAATATCTAATTTAAATCTCCTCTCTTTCAGTCTAAAGTCATTCCCCCTTGTCCTGACGCTACATGCCATTGTAAAATTTGCTTTCTTAAGAGGGTCATCTACAACAGTGCTAAGCTTTTTAGCTGATGCAGATGACATAGGCTGGTGAGTTTGACAGTGGGGCTGGAGGAAGAAGGAAGTCCCTTTTCTTAAGGAAGAGGCTGATAGCTGCAATCCAGTTTCAAGCAGAATTCCTGCAAGAGGTATGTTTTTCCAGAGTTAGCTGGATACTTTTCATTGGGGTGTCTCCCATTTAATATGCAAAACAACACAATTAAAAGGGTATCAACAGAAAGCTGTTTTGTTACTGAAGCCTTCAGGTGTACTCTTAAGAATTGCAGCATATTAGCCACTTGACTCAGACTTATGAAAGACCAAGCTGAAAGATTCTTTTATCCTCAGACAACAGAAAAAGCTCTCCCAGTCAGCCAAGCCCTCAAGACAAAGGGAACCCTTTACAGGTGGGGCTCTTCACAGTTCTCTGTCTTGATCCCTTTCTGGCAGTATACAAGCAGTTTACAGGTGCGTGCAAACTGTCAGTTGCACCTCAGCATAATCCATCCTTGGGCCAGGATAAAAGATCACACATGACCTAGACTGGCTCTTAATAGAGATACAATAGCTCTCAAGACAAAGCTGTATTCCAAAGAAATTCAACATTCCTAAAATTACTTCACATATCAGAATCTGAAGATTATTGAGGACATCAGAGGAGACACAGCTCTGGAACAAAGATTAAAAATTCACTACTCAAGAAGACCAGACCCTTCTTATCCATTCTTCTGATGACAAAATTGTAAAGATAATTTCCCAGAAGATTAACTGGGTCCATAATCTGTATTACTGACCAGAATGGCTATTTCGCTGACAAAGAAATCCACAGGCAAATAATAGTCTGTCTCTGAGAGACCATAAAGAGCCTCCACTTTCAACAGCTCTTTCAAAATCATCTAGGACTGGGAAGAACTTAGGGAACTCATCTCAGTACAAAGGTCTTAAGATTTATGGTTTTCATGCAGCCTTGGTAATAAAAACCAGTCAGGTTCCTTTGCATGGCTCTAGCTTGATGCCCTCCATGAAAGGTATGGAAGAAAAAGCAAACTCTGGTAACAGTGGTACTTCTTTTGGGTCCTCCTGATTCTCAAGGATGGGACACTGTCACTGGAACTGCACTTTACTGGCACTTCTGGATGATTCAAGGTGTAACACTGACTGCTGGAACACAACAGACCTCCTCCTGACAAATCTGAAGGTGATCCATCCAGCAAATCCTTTCAGTTCAAAGGCAAAGAAACTCCCTGCCTCATCTGGGTACTCAGAGCAAGTGAGGCTACACTTTGCCTAATTAGAATCCACAGCCTTTTGAACGGAGGATACGGAAATGCAAGGTGCTCAAGCCATGATCATGCTGACAACAAGTACCAAGGTGTACGCACCCTGGTGAGAGCAGATTCCTGCAGCATATTGGATGCCCATCAAAAACTGAACAGTTTAACACTGACCACAGGCAGTGTTACCATGAAAACCCTAGCTCCAAAACACTGGATCTAATTCACAGAAAAAATAAATTAGCTCAAAAGCAAACAGTGTCATAATGCTGGACATTTCCCCCCTCCTCAGAGCTGATACATTTGCCAAGTAAAAAATCCAGCAGATGGTTTTTATGTGGTGGGTAACGTTTTAAAAATACTACAAAATAAGAATGCTTTTGCAGAGTTATGACAGCTGCGTGTGAAGTGAGCTCTCAGTATTATAAAATAATCACAATTTTTTCTGTTCTAGATATAAAAACCCACCTACCAATCTCTGCTACAACAGGCAGATATTTTTACTCTCTTTTCCACAGAAAAACTGTTAAGTTGGCAGATTGACTGCTAAAGCAAATCAGATCTATTCCAATCAAGTTACACAGGACTTGAGAAAAAGACTCATATGAACTGAATATGAGCCATTTTATGCAACATCTTTGTTTGAACTGGGTCCCAACTAGGGAAGATAACCTTTATTTGCTTTTTATTCAGAGATGAAGACATGTAAGTAGCTTTGAATGAAATGAGAACAAAATCTCAAATGCTCAAAACTTCATAATGCCAAGTAAGACTTGGATATTTCTTCCTTTGTCTGTAAGAGAGTATCTAGGAATATGGGTATGCCAATACTCCATCTTGACATCTCTCCTATAGATTATGAGCTGCAAATTTGATATATGCCCTTTCACAACTATATCCATAGCAGAATTCTCCACTCCTGAGAAGTTTAAAAGATCAAAAGCTAGAAGAAGAAAACACAAGCTTTTTAAAGTGAATTCTACAATAAATGCAGCAAGAAACTAAAACCATTGTTGTCTGCAGACATAATTAACTTGATATGCACCCTTCAACGGCAGCTGTCACTCAGATTGACAAGTTAGCAGATTTACTCAATCTGGTTATGTGTGGTTTCTTGATTTTGGTTGCAACTCAGAAGGTTACTGTGCACTCAACAGTATTCAAAAGAAGCCATGCCATGTCCTAGTAGAAAACAGAGCTCTGACAACTTAGGGCACTCTGTGGCTTAGTATTCTGGTGTTAACTAGGTAGCTCAGTGATGCTAAAGGTGGTACTTATAAATGTTCCACTGATCTTCTATAGCCACAACTCTTGTATGAAAAAATCTTTCTGGAAATGAGTGGGTATATGTGTAACATTTTGGGTGCGATGTTCTGGAAAGTAAGAGATAAGTGATGCATTTTGACTTTTCACATAAACTATTAATAAATGCAAGAAGGAAAACATTTTATGGCATTAAATATGTTCACCAAGCTGCTGTAACCGGGTATTTCTATGGTTTAATATGCTATAGCAAGTGCTGTAAACAACTGTTCTATTTGCTTACTGAAAGCAGGAATTTTAAATCTGAGGCTGTTGTTACTAAAGCCTGATTTTGGAAAAGAGGCCTGAAACAGCCTGATAATAAACTTATTTAGTCTGACTTGAGAAATGCTATGGAAATCCACATCTGACCTCCACAGTTTCTAAAAATAGTCAACTTTTTTTCGGCTGAGGAAGTTTCCTCCATTTAAAATCTTGCTTACCTGATAGAAACCACTCTTTAATATTTCATATCTTTGCTGCACATAGGCAAAGAACGGATAAAGAGTGGGAAGTCAATTCTGTGCTTTCAGCCTTATAAGCTAGGGCATTTTTTATTCATCAATTCAATTGCCTGACTTCATCTTCAAAGAACTTTTTCCCCAGTTGCCACACTAAGTAGCCTGTGGGTAAATACTGAAAGGTCAACAGTTGCTTCTCTTGCTACAAACACATACCAAGGAGAGTTATGTGTATTTGCACAACTGACCTTCAGTCACCAAGACATCTCAAGGCATGGAAGGAACATGAAGGAAGTGGATGAACTATCATTTATTTTGCCTTTCAGTGGCATGATAAATTTCAGTGGCTGCTTGCCCTCTATCAGAGTACTAGATTTTGTGTGGGGGAGACAAAATATTATTTAAGTGAAAAAGTGCTATCATATCTTTTTACTGAAGACCAAAACATACTGTGAATTTGATTTTTGGCAACATCTCTAATTTGTTTTTGAAAGAAATCCTGATCATCTTCCAAAATTTAGACAGAACCTCGCTATGAGCTTCCAAGATTTATTGCTTTCTTTGTATAATTGCTACAAAATGATTAGCAAGATACACATGGCAATACAAACAATACAGTCTGTATTTTCTTCCTTTTGATTGGCACCACAACCAGGTCTTGCAAATACTAAGCTCGAGAACACAGCCAAGTTGTCTCTAGTGTAATAGTTTAGTGAGTGCAGTATATTTCATACAAAGTAAGACATTTGGTGCACATAAGATCTCTTCAGAGTTCTGTAAAATTGTACCTGTAGAGAAACAGAAAAGCAGGAGCAGCATGCTACTACTGAAAACCACTAACAAAAAATGCAACTATTACTGAAGTGGAAGGGGCATGGCAGAAAAAAGTTAAATGCCTGACAAGAATTTACAAGATTTAACACTTGCAACTAAGAAAACTACAACCTTTGTTCTTCTGCAACCTTTTCCGAAAGAGTCCAACTAAAAATCTGCTTCTGAATAACTGTGAAACTAAACACACAATACTATTTTTCAACAAAAAGATGATACCACACTTACCAACTGGACTGGTACCAGCTCCATTTGGCACTGCGAGGTCAGTTGTCCCCATCATTCCACCTAACAACAACAAAAAGAGCATTAAATTAAACTGATGCTGTGTTGTATCATTGTGTACTTCAAAGCTTAAGCCTTTAAAAAAGAGAAAATGCAGCAATACTATTAAGAACTTGTTACTTGGGGGTTATTTGCTTGTGTTTGTTTTATTTTGTTTTTTTTAATAAGCATAGAATGGTTTGGGTTGGAAGGGACCTTAAAGCTCATCCAGTTCCAACACCTTCCACTAGACCAGGCTGCTCCAAGCCCCATCCAACATGGCTTTGAACACTGCCAGGGATAAGGCAGCCACAACTTCTCCAGGCAACCTGTACTAATGCCTCACCACTATCATAGCAAAGGATTTCTTCCTAACGTCTACTCTCAATCTCCCCTCTGCCAGTTTAAAGCCACTCCCCCTTTTCTTGTCAGTGCATGCCTTTGTCAAACGTGCCTCTCCAGCTTTCTTGTCAGCCCTTTTAGGCACTGGGAGCTGCTCTAAGGTCTCCCCAGAGCCTTCTCTTCTCCAGGCTGAACAAGCCCAGCTCTCTCAGCCTGGCTCCAGAGCAGACATGCTCTGGCCCTCAGAACATCTTCGTGGCCTCCTCTGGACCCATTCCAACAGATCCATGTCCAACAAGAGTGTATAAAAGGAAAGGACAACAGTGCTGAACTCTCACCTGCATTGCCAGTACTTGGTGGTCTCTGAGGGGCCCCAGGTGATACGTTCCGATGCAGGGTGGTCTGAGGTGGGGAGAGCATGGTTGTGTCTGTTAATGATGAACTGGCAGCCAGTGATGGGGATACAAGGGAACTCCCTGGGTTACTGTAGGTTAAAGTGTTGGGATTGGACACTGGAACTGTAACCGACATCGAGAAGCTCTGAGCAGGCAAGCCAGGCTGAAGGAAAGAAGACAAGGAACACACACAGAACAACAACGTTAGTATAACTAGTTCTGCAGCGATAGCACATTATAAAAACACACATTAAAGTTTGCCAAGAATTACTCAGGTTTAAAAAAAATAGTTAATTATGTTAGTTTTTAAACTGTATTAAGCATGTAATTTTAAAACATCCATTTGTTGTAGAGCACAGTGTTAAAACTCCTAGACATCATATAAATACAGTTCCAAAATAATTACTCATACACTGCTACAGTAATCAAAGTTCAAATGCAAAAAAAATTGGAAATTCATATGAATTCACAAGCTCAGAAATACCACAAATTCGCCAGTTAATTTGGATTATTACAAAGCAATGACAAGTTACAACACATGTCTACAAATCACTGAAGTGCTGTACCTTCAAAATGTAAGCATAAACATGCACAGTATAAAATAAAGTCAATTACACACAAAAAGAAAAAGTTAGTAATAACATTTTCTATTCATAACCATGCCAAGATACTGCTACTAATCCCTAAAACTTTCTTTTTCAACAGACTAAAAGAAGTAAACAGATCTTTAGAAAATCATTAAGGTCAGTAGTTTAAATTTAAGCATTTTCATTGTCATTATTGTGACTGTATTGCACAACCCCCTGCTTGAATAACCCCTCCATCTTTCTTTTTTGCAAATCTCATTTTTTCAAAAATTCAAAGTTTTCCAGCGTTATTTACAAGGCAACTATTTTTCTCAAGTATATATGTTTGTTATTCAACAGCTACTTGAATCAAAAGCTTAGATGCCTGCCCATCTATGGTACTCATTTGGTTATGACTAACTTGTTCGGCCTTTGTCTCATTCCTATCCTTTGACAGTGATGAGTTTCTGAAACAAAAGGGACTGTTTTCTTTCACAACTCTCATAATTACTGGAAACAAAACAGGTACAATTTAAGAGCAAAACTTAAGTGGCATTTATTGACAGAATATAGAGATAATAGTTCTGATTTAGAGGTCAAATGCGGATGACAAACATTCATGACCTAGCAAGTATACTTAAAGAGAAGCACTGCTGTCATGTGCAGCTGAAAATTTACTTGGAATGAGACTTCTGTACAATGATTTTGATAGAAATAAAACAATTACTAATTAAAAGAACAGAATGCATTTTCTACAAGAAGCAAAATCTCTTACTGGTGACAGTCAATGACAGCATCCCTCCTGAAGCATTCTAAGAATAATTATCAATTTTTGGCACCAACAAAAGGAAAAAGCAATAGAGCATAGTGACATAATGCTAGCAAATCATTCACAGTATCTAACTAATGACAAGCTGCACTGGCATTTTGTTTTCATGGGAAAATGCTTCGAGAAACTATTCAGTATCTACCAAAAAGAAGGTTGTTTTTCAAACAGCACACTGCCAAGCAATCCAACCTAAATTTGAAATACCTGAATTGCTTAAAACAATGCCAGAAGCTAACAGTTGGAACATTCTTTCTGTAGGTGTCTCAATACAGAACTAATAAAAGACAGCTTCCCCCCACACCTTACAACAAAGGCTGCCTCTGCCCATCTATGGTACTCATTTGGTTATGACTGAATTCTTCATGCTTTGCCTCATTCCTATCCTTTGACAGTAATGACTGCACTAGAACAAAAGAAACCGGTTTTTGTAAAGACCCATAAGTACTGGAAACAGAACCAAAACAGGCCCAATTTAAGCTATAAATACAGAACCACAGAATAATGTTGCCTTCTTTATTTACATTGATGTCCACACAGACAATTTAAACTGCTCATGAAGACCACAGAAAATCAAGTGAGAGCAGTTTAGCTGTAACATACTGAGAGATGAGGCCTGAAGATGTCTCAGCAAAGAAAAGCTGGACATCAAAAGCTTCAAAACAAAGATATTGGTTTCATTCAAGTATAAAAGAACTTGCTGTAAGAAGTGATGCTGGGTATTGAGACTGCCAATTTGCTGACAGTCCCAGAGATGGCCTTATTTCTCTCAACAATGAAATAATTTCTAGTACCAGCCAGTCATTTGGGGACACACTACTCCAAGTGCCCCAGGGTCTATGCTGATTAACCTACTCAGTCCACTTACTTTAATTGCTACAAGATTTGCAATGTTAAAAAATTCAAAGGCTGTGGCAGAGCCCTGTATTAGTTTTCTTACAAAATACTTCCCCTGTAATACTCCATACTAATTGGGTTTTGTAGATGGAAACTAAGTGTCATTACATACACCTCCGTGAGACGAATGCAAAATTTACACTGCTGTTACTCCCAAGCTTTTGGAGCCAAGTGACTTACTACTGCAAATGGGTTGGAACCCGGGGCAAAGTTTTCCAAGATCTTTCAATGGCCAAGGCAATATCTGTTAGAATGTCAACAGGAATAAGACACCTGTCTTTTAAGGCTCCCATTATCTTTAAACGTCTAAAATGCCTTTCTTCATCCAGTCTTCAACAAAATAAATCCCACCGGTTTGATGGCCAAATTAATGCAATTCTATCTGCCTGTTTGTAGCATACTGTAAAACCTTGATCAACAGATAAAGAGCTACAAGATGTAAATAAACTATCCTACATCCCACGACAAAATCTATCTTTATAAGAATATTTTGGGTAGGATTAGCAAAGCAGCTAAGCTCCTGAAATTGAGAAATGTTACCTCATGTTCACAAGGTATGGAAAACTGTGAGTGGAAAAGAGAAGCTATAGATAAATCTTCTTAGTAAGATAAAACGCATTTTAACAAGTATCAGCATCTCATTTTGCCTCAAAAAACATATACTCCACTCTCAAACCGCTACATCCTCTTGTCTTTGCAGTGGTTTTCAGTGGTAAGCAAACACCATGAAAATTCTCATGCATGTAATAGAAGCACAAACCATACTTTAGTACTCACTGCGATTTTATGATTCCGCATCATATTATCAAACTCTTCATTAATTTTTTTATATTTTTCTTCTGTATGTGGCGTGAGCACATATGAAGTGTCAGGGTCCGGGCTGTCGCACCCTCTGTGTTCCTTCTTGTTCAGAGCCTAAATAATGAAGTTAATAAAAAGGATCAACAAATAAAAAGTAGAGATAAAATAAAAGTACTTACAGGGCCTCGCTTGAAAATAAAATCACTATCTTCATTTAGTTTGCTGAATCTGTCCTCCGATAGTGGACTGTGCTCAAAGTAATCGTCAGCATCAGGGCTCTCACAACCATTAAGGCCTTTCTTTCTTAAGGTCTGAAATACAATTGGAAAATTCACATACAAATCATCCTAACTTGCCAAGAAGTTTTGTATACTACTGAATCATTCAGAGCCACTGAAACTACATGAAACTTTGACAGACAAAACTCACTGTTCAACAGACAGACTTAGGCTTTCAAAACAGTGGCATAGTACACGAAGAGAAAAGGTTCATTCAGAGGCTCTCCCAGGTGCCATAACATGGGTAACTTTTAACCTACACCCACTTCGTCTCTCCAGCATTCCATGCAAAACTGCTTTTAGATACTGGCTGTTAGGGTGATGTTGACTGACATGCAAGGAACATTCGAGCCTGTGGCAAAAGAGTTAATGCCATCACCATGAATTAAAAGCCAGTTTACTGGATTTTTAAAATACTGATTTTAGTATCCCAATACCCAAATTTTAAAGAGCAAAGAGTTAAGTTCCGAGAAACACAGTGGCTAAAATCTGCAATCAAATTCAACAACTGCAGTACATTCACATATGTAACACTTGTTATAAAAGCAGGACTTTCCTGTATTTCTGTCATCCTGCATGATAACAAGAACTGCAAAAACAGTATAAAAAGAAATTACATAATCCCTCTCTACAATGACTTAGTTTGCCAAATATAATTTTTTTCAGACTCCTTTAGCCTAACTGGATGCAACTGCTTTTTTGAGCTATTTCCTGTTTTCTGATGGAGAGCTCGCATCAACAACCCCTGGAAAAAAAACAAACTTGCCTACGATCGAGGCATTACAAATAAGCTACCGAAGTTTAGTGGTGGACTTGGCAGCATTTGGTTAACGGGCAGACTCAATGATCTTCATGGGTTTTCCCAACTGAAGTGATTCTATGTGACAGTAAAGGTCTCATCACCAGATTTTAAAGGATATTTGTATTCTTTGTTGTTTTTCTTTTTCACCCTATTACACAATCAGAAATCTTTCTTTGCAACTTCTCACATATGACAATACAATATAGAAAACATTCCCCATGGAAAAATATTTAACGTTTTTAAAAGTTTCACAAGGAAATCAGTATCTATTTTTTAACAGGCATACATTAGAGTACATAAAGCAGCAGTAGGACTATGCAGGTATGAGGGGGGTTCTGTGTTTTTTTTTTTTTGTGAGAAATTATCTATGAATTTTACAGTAAAACCCCTGAAGATTTAAAATCTGAAAGCCAGTATCTCGGCACCATAAAAAAGTGCATTTCTTTTCCTACAGCAAATATGTTTCCATAACAGACTGTATTTCTGATTAAAAACCCCCACGGTTTTAGTTTAGACTACAGTATTCATGGGCATTTCTTCTTCAAGTGCTATCTCCTAGTTTTTAGCGCAGTTAGAAGTACACAAGGCTTTCTCACTCTACACATATATACAAGATAATTCCTATTTCTACTTCAGTTTTCAAGCAGCACTTGAAAATTCAAGTTACGCCATCTGAAATCCTTGAATATCACGGGTCACCATAAGCTGAAATTCCTTCTCAAGTTTCTTGGCTTGCTCTGCGGATCCCACACAGTATCTGGAACTCCCACAAAAATGCAATCACTAAATCAGCATATGGCGAAAACAGGTGTAGGTTCCTCCAGCACCTGTCACAGCCCCCATCCCGCTCCTCTACCCAATCAGCTGGACACGTATATGGATGTGGCCATACAAGGGCCGGCTCTTCGGGCTCTCAAGGTCGGAGCTTGTTATCCCTCTCACAGCCCTTCCTAACAAGTCAGCCTGCCAGTCTTCCACACTTTGATATCAGCAGGGAAAATGTTAACACTGCATAATCTGGATTACACTTAACCCCTGCAACCCACAGAACTCTCTAAATAAAAACCAAATGTGTCTTTACATGGTGCTCAGCATCAACATACGTATGCAGGGCATGATTAGAAGCTTAGTTTAGGTAATGTTAACAGAGATCTTGCAAGAAATACACATTACTAATATCTAGTTCACCTCCTTTGACAAACATGTTAAAGCAATGTTAAGTACTGCAGCATAGGGTTTCACTAGTGCTTCTTTCAATACTCAAGTGAAAGCTTTTAAGTCTAATGTCGCTAATTCATCCTCCTAGATCTGCCTGAAAATTATGCTCAAAGTTCCAATATAAAGGAAGAGATGTAGTTAAATATAAAAATGCCTCCTTCTTCATAGCTGATTTTTTTTTATGGTAACAATGGGGTTAACTCTGCTTTGACGCATGAGGAAGGAAAATGCCTCAGTATCTCCTGCTTAGATTCTGGAAACCGTCACTCCAGACGGGGTTCCTGTCATTGTGGAAGGATTTAAGCCACAGTTCACTGTTAGAGATAGTAAGTCTGGGTCCGATAGCCAAAGCTCTGTCTCCTTATCACTAAAACACGAACTGCCACTTTGAGGACCTAACCATAAAAAGACTGCCAACTTTATCATTGCCCAGTAACATAACAGTGAACCATTCCTGCTCTGCGGCTCATAGGAACAAGCGGAATGCTGTAATCTGTTCACACGGCCAGGCGCAGCCTACGCGAGACAGCGCAGCCTCAGCTTTCTCAGAGCCTGCCGAGTGAAACATGATAAAGGGCCCCGGCTCAAGGGAAAAGAGGGAAGGAGGTGACTACTGGGAATTGCTCCGTAGGGACACGGGAAAGCCAAACTCCATAAACAAGCGCTGACTCCACCCTTGAGAACCTCCGCAGCTAAAATCTGTTATTTCTCCAATTCGTGTAAATAACTGCCCCTCGCACTGAGCTATTTCCAAGATTTGACCATGGAGATTGTAATTTTATTAACTCCACTGGTTTAGAGAAAAACCTGCCAGGTCGTGAGACCAACTAATATTCGTGTAACATGAAGAGAGTTTTATACCTCTGCTGTGACACACAAGTTTGTTTAGAATAAAATCAGAGGTTGTGCAGTTGAGGCTAATAAACACAAAATGTAAGTTTTCTTACTACAATGAGAAGGAAAAAGAATAATGAATTTCAAATTTTGCTACTGGATGCTCACTGCAATTAACTTCTGGTGTTAGGTCTCGTTTTCCAGATCATCAAAAGGATGGGCAGCCTTTTGAGTTAGTATTTTATTACTTTCCACTTCCTCCAAGACTTAGCCAAAATGACTGGAAATTGTTTCAACACATTTGCCAACACACACTGCACTGTGTCTTCAGTGAGTGATATGGAGCATCATTGATGTGATACTGGACAAACAAACTGATGAGAGAAAAGTCCTGATTTTTGTCAGAAAATAATGCAAGGTATTTATGAGAAACCAAAAAATCTTTTTATGAAAGAACAACGCAAACACAACAATGCAGTCGGGCATCCTATAAAGTCACTAAACAAGTGTTTCAGACAGCTGGGGTTGTCTTGACCATGCAGAACAGCCCAGAAGTTTTAAACTGCTTTTGTTCCACTGTGTAAAATGTGAGTAATATATTTTAATACTTATTTTTAATGGTAGAGGTTAAAAAACACTGTATGACAACAGCTGGACTGGGTATTACAGGCTTAAGTACTACATTCAGGCACATGGCAGAGCCCCAGTATGTTCCTGAACTTCCCCATACATGTGCAAGGTACATTTTAATGCACTGCAAAACAACTAATTAACTTCTCTCACAATTCAACATAAATTTGACTGAAACAGATAATACAGATATCAAAGAGTACAAAAATACAATAGTTATTTATTGTATGATCCATGAGGAAGCAAAAACGATACTCAACCATCACAGTGTAATTATTTTAGCATAAGCTTCCTCCCACAAAATCCAACTGAGAAACATGAAATGCAGGAGCTTTACGCCTGCTGAGTCTCCACAGCATGAAATCAAGTCGCCACCTTCTCCAAGGCTTGTTCCAGCCCAGCTGTACACAGCTTCTCTCTCACAGACTTACACTGGCTCAATACACCAGTCAGCAGCAGCTCTGGAAACCAGGAACTTTGAACTAATAAACACAGATTACTGCTACCAGAGACGAAGTTAAATGACAACCCCCAACTGTTCTCCTCCCCATGAAAGATCCTGTTTTTCACATCCAACTCGGGAAGGATGTTGCCAATGGTGAAAAGAGCACAATCAGCATGTTTTGTGCTCCAATCCAGAGAGGGTGGTTAAAAAGCCAAGATTTCTGATATTAGTGATCTGGGCTCCTTACCAGCTCTGGCAAAACTGTAGAGAACTTGATTATGTTCATTGTCACCTCAGGAAGTAACATTTTTCTGCCTTGAAACAAAAAAGTAGGATGACCTCATATATAAAAAGTGTAATGAGGTGCAAAACAGTGTCAGTTCATTCAAAACATTGTCAGTGTTGGGTTTCTTGTAACATTACACAAAAAGGAAATGGTTGCTGCTATCAATGCAACTGTGTATCATGTTAACAGCTCTATTTTTGCACTTAACTATTGGAGCCGGCCAAACAGGATTTTTGTTGGTGTTTCACCCCAAATCATGAGGGAAAACATATCTAAAACTTGACTAAGATTGAAATGAAAAGTGATTTCCCTTGCCTTGGAAAAGGCAAACCTTTCACTTAAGACCTGGGGCTAGTTTTGATTCTGCTGTTGCATTCAGAGCACAGAAAAGCTGTGAAACAGCATGAATTTGTAGTAAATACCTTTCATAAAATGGTAATTTAGAAAAGTCAGTATTCCTCAGGCCTGAAATAATGGAAAGGCTCCACTAGTACTGCCAAATATTACTGCTGCTCAGCAGGCACATACACCCTGGTTATCAAAAGGATAGCCAATTAAACAGTTTTCTGGTCCTCGAGAGCTGGCACACAACAGTGGAGAGGGACACTGCTGCCACTTGCACCGAATTCCAAGGACTTCTCCCCACAAGTGCTCATACAGCTCTCTGCAGGAAGGACGGGACTGTCATCCATCACGGATAAGGTCACTGAGGTGATAAAATGTAAAAAGCAGTACCATCAGCCCAGGCTGCAACAGTGCCTCACCTACTAGTGCTCAGGAGCAAAGGAAAATAATCCCTAAAATAAGAGATAAGGATA